GATTCCTGGTGGGTCAATTTTTTTAAAATTTGCTTTCGTTTCTTATTTGATTTTATCATCTTCTTCGACTACTACCTCTCTCTCTCTCTCTCCACTATTTCACCCTCTCCCTCTCTTGCTCTGCCTCCCTCTTCTTTCTGCTCTGCATGTCTCCCTCTGTCTCTGCCTCTCTCTTTCTCTACTCTCTCACCTTCTACTTTTCCCGCCTTTGGCTCCATGCAGTCCCTCTTTTATGTCTTATAGGATGTTCCTTAATTTCCTCTAGCTCTTTCTTTTTCCCTTTGTATTCTTATTTCACCCCTACCATGTTTCGTTATACTATCCTCTCTCCTTCCAACGGTATGCATTCTTATTTCTCTTTCATCCCTCGGTTCAGCTCATGTATTTTTACATGACTATAACCGTCTTCCTCTCTCCTTTTCTATATTTATATCTCAACATTTTTCACTTTGATGACGTCATTATAGTGAACATTTCGATTAAATGCGACATGTCAGAATTTTCTTAATTTGCGTGTCATGCCTATGGGAGGTGACTTTTCCGAAAATTTGCATTGCACATTCCAGTCTTGTTTGAGCAATATCTGGATTATTCTTTTCTCGATTTTCTGCCAGCTTCGAATATTTTGTCGCTGAAAATTCTCTACACTTAAGGTCACAATTTTTTTTAAAAATCAGATGTTGGGATCATGGCGATATTCTAACTACAAGATGTGATTTGAGAATCCTATTTTTCGTTTACGTGTAATGTCTATGTATTTTGGAATTATAAACAACCCGACTCAAAGCCCCTGGACAACTCGACCAGACCAGGTCGACTTGTCCAGGGTGGGATGCTTCGGAGGACAGCTCGACCAACTTTTTTTCTCCTCATGATTTCATGATCTAATATCTCTCATCTCAGATAAAATTGTCATTTGATGTATTAATTATGCTTTTATAAACACCCAACCCTAACCTAACCATAACTCTAACCCGGCGATTGTACGTCTTCGGCTCGTCAAAAATATATTCTCGTTGCAAAGAATATCAGCTTTATTCTTTAGAACAGCTCTCAAAATACTCACAATTTCCATGTTCCCTGTCATGACTGTGCTAATTATAAAAGCATTAATACATAAAATGACAATTTTATCTACGATGAGTTATTTTCAGCCCATGTATACGCAATGTTTACGTCTCTAGCTCCCACGGACAAAGAATTGTTTACATGTCAATAAATTTCTCTTTCTACATATCTATCTACTCACATCTCGCTTTTTTTCTCCTCTCTTTCTACTCTTTCAGCCTCTCCCTCTCTTGCTCTGCCTCCCTCTTTTTCTCTTGCTCTGTCTCTCGATCCTTTTCTCTACTCTTTTACCCTCCCCCTTTCCAGCCTCTGGCTCTCGTTCTCCCTCTTTTATGTTTTTGGATGTTCCTCAATTTTTGTCGATAAAATCTATTTTTCTTATCTAAAGTCATCATCTTATTGAAAGTCATCATGACAACTTTTACCTTAAACAAAAATATTCTTTTCAAAAATAATTCCTAGGTACTGAGCTTCCTTCTCACATTCCTAGATATATACTTATAAAACAGTACAACATACACAAATCAATACAATAACTACATATCTCATGAAAATGTTTGGAACAAACTGTTTCAATTTTTACTGCACATAAATTATCAGTTAAGCTTTATCAAGGTAAAACTTTAAAGTCAAACATAACATTCTTCATCTTATCAACCATTTCATGATATCAGGAGATCATGACACTACATAGCTCATATCACTAAATACCAATCCTAGTCAATATAATAATAATAATAATAGTGGGTTCTTGTATAGCGCTCATGTCAGTCACATTTGACCCTCCTGGCGCTCCCGATTATTACCCTGGGTTTAGCACGGATGCCATACGGCGCTCTAGCATTTCAAGAAATAAATTCCTACCAGGTACCCATTTACTTAACCTGGGTGTAGTGTGGCAAATGTAGATCAATGTCTTGCCAAAGTTGTATATCCAGAAATCTCAGTTCTCAACCTATGGTTTAATCAACCAAGTTTTATAATGTACAATAAATAATATAACATTCTTACTTTTATCAAGTCATAAGGCTTAGATACATTAAATTTCCCTTGTATTTGAGTTGAAAATTTGCACATGCAATTACTAAAACGTGTTTTCAATGATCTGATTTTTCTTTTTTAAAATGATATTATATAGCACCCGTACCTCAGAACGTTAATATCATGGAAAAGGTTAAGCATGGTTATAAGTCTATAAACACCTTTGAATAAAACCTTTGCTAAAAACAATGCCAACATAGCACAACAATATCATGCTGTGGGATAATTAGCATAAAAACAATCCATGTATAAATATGTTGGACATATTCTGCACAAAGTTGAAAACCTATAACATGGCTATACGTTAATGTCCATAGAGTTTGTATGTAACCTGTTAATACAAAGTAGAGATTATCAAATGTTCACATCATCACCTGAAGACAATGTCTTTGACTCAAAATTAAACAATTATCCGGCATTAAAGAGCACAACCCAATGGCCCGAATTCACAAAGGAGGTTTGTTGACAAACCGAGGTTTATGTACGTCATATGACGCGTTTTGACGCATTTTTTTACAAACCTGGTTTGTAAATAACAAAAGGAGGTTGACAACCTCCTTTGTGAATTCGGGCCATTGTGTTCAGCATCATTAAGCCCTCTCTGATATATTTAGATACATAAGGTGGCTGTCTAATTATCATCTCTTTCTGTCTTTTCTGTTCAAAATGTAGTGACTAATATTCCTGCACTTGCATAAACTACAATGCGTATATATTGCTGTAATATTTTCTTCTTCATATCAAACTTCAGTAGTGAATTTCATGCATTTCTACAAAACATATGCTCAGGATAATAATTTTGTATGTGCTATCATAGAAAGTTTGATGTGTATACATTTGTGGCTGGCAAGATCAATATAAAATAAATCTCAACATTACATAATCCTGGTAAATGCAATATGTATTCAACAAATGACATTAACAAAATATGTTAAACCGTGATACACATCCAATAATTTACAATGGTAGACAGAAAAAAGAAATTGATGAGTATAGTGCATTTTACATTCTGCTCATATATTCTGTGTGTAATTTTTTTCCCGTGGTAATGACTTCTTACTCGCATAAGCAATCAGGAATTCTTCTCCTGAATGTTACTGCATAAGCCCAGCACCCACATTTACCTTCAATACAAACAACTGATCCTCGGCATTTTCCACAGAATCCTGACACACTTTCATACTCTCTGTACACAAATCAAAGCAGCCAGCCACTGACATGTTAACCTTCTGCCTGGGAAATTATTTGTTGAGAAGATTAATGTGATATGTCTTAAGAACACCACTGCCAATGTAGTCATAGTCTACTTTACCCCAGCACAGGGAATGGACCCTTCCATTTCAGCAACAACTTGTTCTGATCAGTGGGAAGCAAGATCAACACCTGATCTCCGATATTAAATTTCTTTTTTCTAGCATTCATATCCTAACACTTCTCGTATTTTCCTGCAGCACCTTTTAAGGCTTCCTGGGCTAACTCCCATGACTTCACCAACTTCTCACGGAGCACTATGTCATATTCATACTCATCTTTCAACTCCGGTATTACATCATCATTTGTCCTCAATTCCCTTAACATATCAAAGACACTCGCCAAGACCCAGTCTTCACTAAACCAAGTTCTCTGAAATGGTAGAAATTTTGAAGATATTCAATACCTACACATGGTGATAAAAAAAAGGTCATATAAATCAAACATTTCCATTGTCACTGCTAATATTAAAATATAATCAGTGTCTCCGTTACCTTTACTACTGCTATCACCTTCCCCAGTATTACTGTTAGTAGGTGAAAAGCATTACCCTTGTTTATCTTTCAGATAGATGTTATTACTGATCACTGGTTTAACGCTAATATAATCGTATTCATTTAATCAATGACTGAGGAAATTAAAAAAAATTAACAATTTGTGTACAAAGCAAAAGAGATATGAGCTCGCATGTGATGTCACAAAGTTTCCAATTTGTGCTTCACTGATTACAACTCCAACAATTCTCATTTCTTTTTGATTTTCCTCAACATTTCATTGATTTGTTTCTCTCATTTATCTGCTTTTATGAAGACCAACTTATTTTTGGGGCGGACTTCCCCTTTAACACTTTACATGTATGAAGATCAACTTATTTTCGGGTGGACTTGCCCTTTAACACTTTACATGTATATGTAAGCATCTTAAAAAATGCATATTTATAATTATATGGCTAACATCATTTAATCCTTACTGTACTTGGGGGGGGGGTGGTGTAAGAGCCCCCCCCCCCCCTCCACCCCACATTTTTGGAGATAGCGCCGCAACCGCTTGGAATTTTAAATTGTTGTTCTTGAATTTTTTTCCTCGAGTCTTACGCACATTTTGCTACCATTTTCATCGAATTAGGATACACCCGTCAGGTGTTACATAGCAATTAGTATGCGCATATCATCAAAAAGTGCTACAATTGCATATATCCATGTACAAGCAGAAATGTGAATACAGGTAAAAAGATGTATAAGTGGGAGATATGAATTGATATCAAATTGCTTTGATACATTTCTCAAAGTAACTTGATGTATTCCAGAACAAAACAATACATTAGAAATAAAACAATAGATTGAGGGCTTAAAAAACCACAACTGTCTATGTCCAAATATGCCATTTTGAGTAAAAATGCATTTGAAAGTAGTTTGATTGCAAGCATAAAATCTGACAAAATGAAGTTGTTATGTTCAATGCCATTAACTTATGAATAATACTTGGTCAAACATCATGCAAGGAAGCCATGACGTTTTGACCCTGTCAATGTCAAAAACTTACAAAATGGGAGTGCCAAATACCATCCATGGAACTCTTCAGGAATAGCTAGGCTATTGCACAAGTTGATGAGATCCTTTCTTCTTAAGGTTTAGTTTTTGTTTTAATGCTTCTCTTGGTAGACAAGGTCCAGATTACGTGGAACTGATGATCTATCTTCTTGTAGTCATCCAAGTAGTTATAGATGGTAGCAGATGGTGCCTTGCTCTTCCTTCCTGTATTGGAAGCTCTTTACATGTAGCCAGTTGAAGACGTGTCCATCTTCGTCTGGGCGTTTGTTATTCATGATCTGCTGTGAGAGTTTTTTCAGATCATAAGAGTCTCCATGGCACATGTTTATGACCTTGTATGGAAGCCGACGTCTTAATTTGTGGAAGCTTTTTTACCCAGTCATGCATTGTGAAGACATTGATGTTCTTTTTTTCTGTTTCAATAGCAGAATGCATGCTATTGTATTCCATGTGGGAATGCCCACTCTCCAGAAAATTGTGTGCGATGACTTTGAGATGTGTGTTCTGGATGGCATAGAGTAACGTTGCAGCCACATTTACTTTGCAAATCAAAAGAAGCCGAGACAAAAGTCCTCTTTCCAGCAACTACCTTGGCCTGGCATAGCTGCCAACATTTGGAATTTTCAATTAGTAACATTTAAAGTAAAAGTGAATATCATGTGCGCATAGCGCACATCACGAGCGCGAAGTCTCTTTGCACTAAGTACAGAAGCTGAGCAAGTTGATAGATAAGAAACTGGTTCTCCAAAGCATCTAGGGCACTGTGCTTGTCTTCTTCTTCCTGAAGCAGCATGCAGGGGAACTTGTTGATGAAGAACTTTAGAGAAGTGAATTTGGCATCCTTCTGACATGCAATGTCAGCCACTTGCACATGGATGAGAACATCAGACTTGAATGGAAACTTACTTATAATGTAGTCACATGCCTTGGTATAATATGAACGCACTGCTGCATAAAACTTATGGCAATCAGACTCATCTAAAGTGTTCACAATTTCTCTTGTTGCACTTCCTATGACCATTTCAGATTCTTCGAAAAGATTCTCCTTGTTCTTGTAGTCCAGAAGGGTCAAGTCTGTGGCTGCAATGATTGCTTGTGGAGCTACAATTAGCTGTACAAGTCACGCAGTAGACTTTCTCGTATTCCTTTCAGCTTGTGTATCAGAGGACTTCTCGTCTGGAAGATGACACTTTTCTTGTCAGACGCAATGATGCTGTGGCTGAGAAAATGTGCAATGGCTAATATTGGGTTTGAGTGCAATGACTTCAGAATTCTTTCCTGTCTTGTTTCATCCTTTACTGTCTGTCTTGTTTTCTTTTTTCCTCCACATCTTGTTTTTTCCATTTCCAGTCATTTTACTAGAAATCGTACTGGGATGACTGGAAGTTCCAGCCTTGAGCACTGTTGAGCCTGTTGCCTTGCCGACAACTTTCCCAGTCTTCTGCTTCTTGCTAGGTGTATCCGAAGTGTCCCTCACTTGTCGTTTTTCCCCGAGTAGTACAGCTTGAAGATGGTCTACTGTGTTGTGGCTGTGGTGCTTGAAGTTGAACCTGGGAGGAACAAAAATTATTGATTACCATATGAGAAAGAAATAAGACTACTGACACTGTTTACAATTAAAAAGATACACTACATTTGAAATCTTGGCACATGACTAGCATTATTGAATAAATGTTTATATCTGTAAACTGAACAGTGGAGTGAAGATGATTGGAAGAGAAAGAGCTAACAAGTAAATGAACTAAAAATAAGGAAGAATAAATGATGAAAAGGTACATATTTAACTGTCACCCTGTATTATATGATTAACTTTTGTACTCACTTGGGTCTGAGACTGGGCAGGTTTGCTTACATGTGGTGGATCTGCAGACACCTTCTTGGGAATGCGGAATGCTTCATGGAGTTGTGGAGTCATCTTGGTTTGGTGAGGAGGCTTTTCCTGTAGGACAAGACAGGTTTAAAAATTTCATGCGATGCCTGCAACACTATTGATAATGACTTTAATTTATAAGCAAACAATTTAATTACACATTAAATTAAATTTTGCAATTACCATTCTGGTTCATGTAGTTTTTTTTAATTTTTTTCAAACTATTTTACAATGTAAAATGAAAATAACTATTGCCAATTTGAGGAGTAAAAGCTGATTAATTCAAACATTTAGAAAGCTCTCTACTGCTTGGGATAATCTATTCAAATCTGGTAATTTTAATGATGGCCATATTTAAATGGAATAAAAAGGAGTAGATGCCTTGTAGTAATACATTTTCTAGCCTTACCTGTAGTTGAGATCCCTGAGCAGGTTTATTTTTCACAGCTGGAGTTGGCTTCTTTGGAACAAGTGCAGTCTGGACACAATTCTTGGTTGCCTTGGTCTGTTGAGTAAGCTTCTTCTGCTTTGTCTGTTGAGTAGGCATCTTCTGCTTGGTCTTTTGAGTAGGCTTCTTCTGCTGGGCTGACACTTCTCCTTTAAAAAAAGGACTAGAGCTTGCCATTGCTAGATAAATCTTGGCAAGCATTGGCCCAAGCTCAGCCATCTCGTACAAGCATGTTTCAGAATTGCCTGCACTAGCTTCATTCCCAATTAGCATCTGGAACTTTATGAGATTCAATTTCCTGTTCACGCTGGCTTCCAGATAGTAGAACACATCAATGAGGAGCGAGTCAATTGAATATGGTAATGCAGATGACACAGCTTTGGCAGCAAGATCAATTAGTTGATTAGGGCAACCAAGTTTGGCTGACACTTTCTGAGGCATGCCCCAATTCCCTTGTGTACACCAGTCATGCCTGATGCATTGTCTTATCCCAATGATGTGCAGTTGTCCCATGAGATATCATGTTTCTGCAGCTCTGTTATGAGCAATTGTGCAATATTTCCACCAGTTCCTGCCATTTCTAAGGTTGGGAGGGAAAGCAGAGTGCAAGAAATTTGCTTACCATCATGGTAGTTGATGACAATTGGGTATAGTTACTGTTGCTGACATTACTCCCATCAGTTGATATTGCAAATGGCTGTTCTCTCATGGCTGAAACGATCTGTCCTTGTTCATCTTTTGCCATTTCACACACAAGACAAGAAGTTTGGTCCTTGCACTGGAAAACTTCTTAACCTCCTCAGAATTAGGAAAGGCTTTCCTGAACAATGGTCCCATGTGACTTGCAGCTGACAGAGGAATATTGTGCTCCAAATAAAATGATGTAAATAAGCACTCAGCTCTAGTTATATTAAAATCCTTGGAGGTTGACAACCATGATGTTATTTTTCATGCTGACGATTCAGACTGGAAAGCAGTGATGTGTTGCTTTGATTTGCAATGAACAACAATGTCATTACAACCGCCATGCAAAATTGACAAATCTTGGCGACATTATTTGCAAGTTGCATGATGTTTGCTCTTTCCTGATGATGCAATAAAGTCAAAGTCAAGTCAAAGTCATCAGCATATTTCTTGTTGTAAGCTTGTCCTCTTTTGCGCTCCATCTTATTCACAATGATTTCCTGTCTTACACGATGCAAGGGTACTGCTTTGGAACCTTAAGCCTCTGTTTTTCGCACGAGATGGGTTTCCATGAAATTCTCCTTCTGTTCTCCCGACAACTGGTCATACTTCGTACATGTTGCACATTGGTCTTTTTTATTCATCATTACGTTTTTTCCGGGCAATGATATGGTGTTGCTTGGCCACAATCAGTGGAAGCTGCATAGGAAATCTAATCTGCTTAATTAGTAGAAAACTGCAAGTACTGCGCAATTCTTAATGAATGCATGAAAGTACTTGAAACAGTCTGGACATGAAAAGTAAAATGGCTAATGGACATACATGGGAATAGACAGTTCTGGCACACAAACTGAAATGAATATACAGTACTTTGATGGATTTAACTCAATTTCACCAAAAATGGACATAGACAGTTCTGGTTTTAAGCCCTCGAGATATAATAAGAAATAAAAAAACAATATAATATATATTAAAGAAAATAAAATGATGAAATTTGCATATTCATAATTTATGCAAATTAACCTTTGCATTTTCAAATATCGACAGCCCCCCCCCCCCCCCCCCCCCTGCAGTCAGGGGTTGCTCAAAATAGTCCACTACGGTAAGGGTTAAGTATCATGTAAACATCATTGACAGTATAACATCCATATAATCCTATAATCATCACTGTCCTACTCACTGAGTGATTTCAAGTTGGGTGTTTAAGGCTAGTGTTAGTGTTTAATAAACACCAACACCAGCCTAAACACCGAAATGGAAATCAGCTGGTGTTAAGGCTTTGACCTCTGAATATTGTCAACTTCCGGTAGCTAGTGTTATCGATTTTGCAAAATTGTCGTCTGCTGGACCGACCTTTGTGGCTGGTGTTAATATTTTACGTACAAATGTCCTATTCACTAACACTAGCCCCTAGGGATTAAGCAAATGTTGATTTCCAGTTCGGTGTTAGTGTTGTATCCGCACAACATTCAACGCACGAACGACGCCAATTTATTGTCTGATGATCAAATAAAAATAGGTGAAACAGGTAATTCATATATTCTTATGTGTAAAATGAGTTATTTTATAAGACCAGAGAAATAGGTGTAAATTTATTCTGTTCTTTTCATGATATCTTTAGTTTTGATGTACTATTTTTAAATCATCGTCGTGAAATCAAGTATGTGGTGACGTCACAGCTGGTGTTAAGCTATCGATTTTGATATCGGTATCGGGCTCTTAATTTCATCAGTAAATTTTCCGCTCGATTTAAGAGCTCTTGACTGCTCTAAACACTAACACAAACACCCAACTTGAAATCACTCATTGTCATCATATTTACCACCATGATCGTTGAGACAATATACTATAACCCTCCAATTTTCATTAACTCAAACAACTTAATACATCATAGTGAATAACATACTATTGAAACGCATTATCACTACCAAACAAATCATCTTTCAGAGAATAACATTCCAGCATTGCATCATGATATTAGTATTTATTCATTATCATTAATCTTCCCATTTTGATATTCCATAACCATAATAACAACCTCTTCTTTACTTAAATACTTGCATGTCTCATTGTCCAATCAAGCTTGATCTCTGATTTGAGTGTCTCCTTCAGAGTGATGGTTTCCATGTACCCTGTCTCCTACTCCAACTCAGTCAAAAAATGAGCACTTTGCAAGGTTCATGGAATGCTGCAACTTCAATATACGGATCAGGTCGACAATCCTTAACCTGGGAAGAAAAAGCATGGATGTATGATCTTGTTATCCATCTACCTATCAATCCAGTTTTCTAAATGTGTACCATTGTTTTAGATTTCTAAAATGTTATCTATCAGTTCGAAATACATGTACATGTCATGACGTGAGTGATATGTTTAAAGATACTAAGGTTTGAAAGTCAAGGAGTGACAACACATAAATCCTTCAACTCATCACCTTAAGAAAAGGGTTTTACCATCTTTACAACCTGCTTTCAATGTGATGTCCAAGGCAGATGATATCATTGATAAGTGTAAGGTAAGCCAACAAAATATTGACAACCATTTTAAGAAGGAAAATATTATTTGTTTTTATGTAAACATTTATTCATTTTTGCTAGCAATATTTAATATCTTGTTTTTTTTTGTATTTTTGTTCTTGTTACTGCTTTGATATTTTCATGTGAACATTTATTAATTTTTATATATTTGTTTTCATTTGCTATTTTTTTCTTTATATATGTATATATATATATATATATATGTATGTTTTGAAATGCCTTTTTTTTTATATGATTGTATGTTTGATGTTAACTTGCAATTTTAGTCTTTGGACTTTTTGACAAGTCTTGAATAAAACCTCATTTGAATTGAATTGAATTGAATTCATTTTTGCAAGAATATGAAGACATGATAAATGAAAATATTTTATTCATCAACAAAATTAAGAAATTTACTTGTTTATTCTTCTCATTTTACTACTAATATTAAAAAGCAACCTTAACAGCTTCATGGTAACTATAATATGTAGGGATGACCTCTGTTTCCAATAAATCTAGTCCCTTGCTGTACACATGATCTATCAATGTTCCCTTCTCAGTAGTAGCATTAACAACATGCTGTTTGTAACCTTTATTACACATTAGCTTGTTTACCTGTGAAGAACCTTTAAACAAATCCTCATTAAAATCTCCCATCACAATACACCTAATGTTTCTTTTGTGTAATGCATCTAGCAAATTGTCTAATGATTCACAGAATGATTTGATACTATATGATGGAGGTCGATAAACAACTGAAATCACAACAGAAACTGGTTTGGTGACAAGAATTGCGATAAACTCTAAGTTGTCGACAGATATGTTTAATCTACTTGAATATGTATTCTTGATATACATTGCAACACCTCCGTGCGATTGTTCTTTGAGTACATTTCCAACTCCAGAATTACAGTATGACAGATGTCGTGGCTGATGATAAAATCGAAAGTTATCTAAAATAACGTCACAGAGATCATCATCATTAATCCATGTTTCGGTCAAGCAAATACAATCTACATTCACAAATTGGCACTGGGATTTGAAATCAGTAAAATGCTGTTTTAATCCTTGTACATTTTGCATTACCAAAGAAAAGTTATAATTGTGAATATCTTCAGAAGTTTCATTCTCGATAAACGGCTTCATAATCTCAATGCGTTCTTTAATTTCTGGATTACAATATATACGTTTAGGATCGAAATGTTCTATCACAAGTCCAGATAACGAAGTAACGCGACTAAGACCAACATATGCCTGTCCAGATTGAAATACATTTTTTAATGATACAACAGCTTTGTCTAATGTCAAACCTTGTACTTTATGAATTGTGCAAGCATAAGCAAGCTTAAGTGGAAATTGTTTTCTCACATATTTCTTACCAATTGATTCTTGAGACATTTCGATTGAATGAATACCAATATCAGCCTTCTCAAAATTAACTTTGATGCAAACTGGATTCAAATTTGTATGATCCGTTATTATTTCTGTTACATTTCCGAAACATCCATTTGTCAGGCCTTTACTAACATCAATGTTTTTGAGCAACATCACTCTAGCATTAACTGCAATCCACAGATAAGGAGGCAACTGGGTTTTCATCTTTGTATAAGGTTTTTCCAGTATTTGATTTCCTTTTTTAACATCTTTGTCCATGTCTTGTGCTTTTACGCATATCACATCTCCACATTTTGTATGCAATAATTTCTTGTTCCAAGCATCTACTTCATTGTTACATGCATAGATATGCAGAGCATTTTCACATTCTTCGCCAGTTTCACAGGACTTGAGCATTGCTAGGTCTTCATCACAGAGAATTTCATCCCCTTCTTTTACACGTAATCTATTTAAGAGAAAAGCGAATTGGGTATCGTCTTTTTGTCTCATAATGTCTTCAAGTTCTACTTTCTTGAAATTAGCATTCCACAATGCACCATTGAGTGTGTCTTTATATAAAGGAGTTCCTAAGACTGGAGGTAACTGATACATGTCTCCCACAGCAATAACTGAAACACCAGCAAAAGCAGTTTGATCGCGTGATTGTTTTATTTGTCGTAGGCGGCCGTGAATGTAAGACATCATCTTTTGATCTACCATTGATACTTCATCTATGATTAAAATTTGCAATTCAGCCAGCTTATTTCGAAGGACACTTATTTTTTCATCACTCAGCGGTTGATACAGTTTTTGTGCTGTGATTGGAATAGAAAGAATACTATGTATAGTATTGCCATTGATATTGTATGCAGCTACTCCGGTTGGAGCCATTTTTAATACTGAGACATCATCAGGATGTGGCAACATTCGGGCTAGTATACGTGTTGCTTCATAGTAAAGACATTTGATCAAATGACTCTTTCCAGTGCCAGCACCTCCAGTTAGAAACATATGAAACGGTTCGACCGATTTTCCATTTACTCTATCTAAACACCACTGTCGTATTTTGTAAAAAACACTCTGTTGCTTCTCATTCAAAGACCTCATCAAAGAATGTCCATCTTGTTTGGAAATTTTTACTGAACGTAGTTCGATGCTATAGTCATCTTTTTTCGGTTCATTCTTTAAATCTGGAATATCAAGATCTCCATCACAATCTTCGACATCTACATTTTCTTTGGGATGTTCAAGACGCTCTACTTCCTTTTCCGGACATAAAAGACCCCATGCATCTTCGTGTGGACCAAATTTGTCAAGATGCTCCTGTGCATGATCAATTGCATCGGCATTCATTTCAAACTTCTTTCGGTTAGTACAGACAATTGACCAGACTTTCTCCAATTCACGTCCACATATTTTCACAGAACCTGTCTCGTAGAACTCTTCATGTGTTTCAAATGTTGGGGGCTTTAATTGTCCATCTTCAAAATATGGCAGAAAGAGTTGCAAAATGCTCAAATAATATTTTTCGGGTGAGATGATGGGTGAGAATCGGGGATATCTTACAACTGCATCTCCAGTACGAGTACGCTTCTGAATATACCCCAGATCGTTATCTAATTTAAAGACATTTTTACTTCTTGTACTTGGCGTTTGGGATGCAGTTAAGATTCTGTACTGAGAACAAAACGTTGCAAGACACATATCACTGAATTCTGCGTTTCTAGGTCGAGCTTTGTATCTGTCGAGCTTGCTAGGCATCCAAACATTCTCATCATCATCATTATCGTTTTCTGGTCTGCTTTTTATAACGCTTAATGGTAAACTCATTTTGACAGGGTCAGGTCCAACAGGAATGAATTCCACTTTCCTAGAACATTCTTTCAATCTGAGACTGCAAACACGATAGACGCTTTCTTGAGCAGACACTTCACGATTTTGCATGTACACCTGGCCAAGTTTTTTCATGCTTTCCTTTGCGTTCTCATTTCCCTCTTTCATTTCTGATAGTGTATGACTCAATAGCATTCCGATTTCTCGTTCAGCTTTTGACATGTAGGATACAATATAAGCCACGCATGCAAATACATTTGTTACAAACTGCAAATCCATGTTGGCATTCCAGCTTCTTAGTAGACTTGGATTAAACTGATTTACCCATACATCTTGTATTTCTCTTTTGATGATTATACTTTGTTGTGATGCTAATTCATGATGTGCATTCTCAAATTGATTTTGTGTAATGCCAAGCTTTTCAAAGAGATGGTTTACACTGTTGTACTCGATTCCATTGGATAATGCATCTTTAACTGACTTCAACAATTTCTCTGCATCATCTTTAGTCTTTTCAGAAGCTTTAACTTGATCTTTGTCTTTTCCCTTATTTTGCACTTTCCCACAATCTTTAGCTGAAATCTCTTCAACAGGTGTTACAATGAATGTTTTTCCAGATGGTGGTCTCGGGAAATTAAATCTACATGCCTTCCCTGTTTTTGTGCAAGATTTAGAATGTTTTTTACTGTGTTGTTGGACCTTGCTTACTATTTCATGCAGTTCTCGATCTTCCTTTTCATCCGGTTTCTGGCAAGAAATGTATTTATCTACGAATTGTACGACATCATCATCTTTATCGATACCCAACTGTGGAGCATTTTGAACCCAGAACAAGGCATGAATGTGAGGGGAACCACGAGCTTGATACTCTACTCTCCAAAATGAATCAACTATTTTACCAATCGGTGCAGCGGGAGATAAAATAACTCTCTTCATAAAAGTGTGAAATCTTTTATCAAACATTCTGGCAACTGTTACTGGATTTGATCTTAAAAGATTACATTTTTCTGTATAGTCTAATTCACTCGATTCCCTGGTGTCTCCTTTTTGTCTAAGCAATGTATTCATTAATTCCGGCCATCTCATATCGGCAGATGAGAAAGAAGCAAACCATGTGGGCTTTCCAAGCTGTCTTACCATTGCGAGAACATCTTTTTGTGTCTTTTGCCAGAATGGAGGTGTTCCACGAATTTGCTTTAAAAATTTATAGCCCTTGTCTGATTTTAGTATTTTTTTAACTTTCTCTGCATCTTTCAAATCTGAGGCAGTTATTGAAGACGAATCATCTTTTTTGTTTGGACTTTGCCTTAAAGCGATAGAAACTTGTGATATAACCTGTTGAATTCATAAATATATTGTGCATAAAAGATGTAATCTGTATTCTGAGCAAATCTATTGTCCACGTGCATCAGTCGGTTATGCAGATAACGTCCTAATGTTATTTTTTCATCTCTTCTATCATGGAATGTTGGTTGACCTTTAGGAAATAACACTGGGAAACATTTGGCCTCATTGCTTTCATCTTGTAGAATTGATACCGGGCTTCTTCCTTCACAAGGAGCACAACATATTATGTCTTCAAAATACTGATCTAATATTTCCTGTCCAATATCTACTGGCTGGAGACACGAGTCTAACTGAATACCGCGTAAGCGTTCTTCCATATCGTCTTCAGTGTCGTTGTCATCTATTTTTTGTAGTAGTTTACTGTTGTCTTGCATGTTTTCATTAGCATTTTTGTCTTTGGACAAAATGTAATCAATTTGTTCTTCCATTTCCTTCCAATATTTTGCTAAACGAGCTTTACCACCGATTTCCACTGCTTCTTCCTTTTCATTATCCTTTTCATTTCGTTCAAGTGAGTTTTCCCATTTATCATTTACTGTAACATCAAAATACCACTTATTATTTGCTTTTAAATACTGCAGAGCATTAAGCAAGTTAGATTTATCTACAAATTTGTACTCATAATAGCTTTTGTACGACAATTTTCGTTTGAGTTTAACACGGATCAATTGATCTTCAGTCTGTGGTCTTGGCAACATATCTACTGTTTCATAAGTGTTTGAAGGCACGCACACCACTGGGCCATGGACTCCATTTTGACCACCTTTAGGCAACGCCATTAACTTCATAAAAGGGATATTCAATGCAATCAAATGCTGTTCTAAATTGTTCAGATTGGCAAGTTCTTCTGGAACTTCATGTAATTGTAAATTGTTCATATTTGCTTCTGGAGGTACTTTTCCAGCTTTCAATTTTCTATGACAGGTGAAGCATATCCATAGTGACGATCTGGCTGACTGGCCTATTAAACATTTTGACCGGCATTCTAAATTGCAAACATGCAAATAATCTTCACTTATGCATGTCTGAATTTTATAATTATTCTTTTTACATTTCAATACTTGGTTCTCAAAGAGAAGTTTTAAGCATACACAGCACACATATTCTGGGCCATGAGAAATTATCTTTCTAAATTCTTCAAGTACAATATCAAACTCGGACAATTTTACTGTTCGAAGTGCAAACCTTTTTCGATTTTGTTTTATTACATTTTGCCTATATTTTTCAATTTTTTTATATTTCATTTTTAAGCTCATCAATTTCTTTTCCTTAAATTCTTTACCTTTGTATCTAATTTTTGACAATATTTTCATGGTATCTTGTTGTTTTTCCTTGAAATGTTGATCGTTTAAATATTTACTTCTTATTTTGTCTTTGTGCATTCGTCTGAAATGTTCATTGTTCAAATATTTACTTTTTATTTTGTCTTTGTGCATTCGTCTGAAATGTTGATTGTTCAAATATTTACTTCTTATTTTGTCTTGGTGCATTCGTCTGAAATGTTGATTGTTCAAATATTTACTTCTTATTTTGTCTTTGTGCATTCGTCTGAAATGTTCATTGTTGTGATATAATTCCTTTATTCGTTTTTTCATGGTATCTCTTTGTTTTTCTTTGAAATGTTTATCATTGCGATATAATTCCTTTATTCGTTTTTTCATGGTATCTCTTTGTTTTTCCTTGAAATGTTTATCATTGCGATATAATTCCTTTATTCGTTTTTTCATGGTGTTTCGATGTTTTTCCTTGAAATGTTCATTGTTCAAATATTTACTTCTTATTTTACTTTTATGCATTTGTTTGAATTGTTCTTCGTTCCAATATTTATTTTTCATTTTAGTCCTCATAACTGTTTTAACATTTTCTTTGAATCCTTCATTTATCAAATATTTCTGTTTATTTCTATACAAAATTTTCTTTTTATAATGTAAATCAGAATGATATTTGGTTTTCATAATATTTAGCTGTATGTTCCTGAAATTTGAATCCTCTTTATACATTTCTTTTTGCCTTTGTTTGACATAAGCTCCTTGCTTTATTTTGTGTGATAAATCAGTGTTGTAATTCTCTTTTTGTCTTTGTTTTACTTCATTTATTTTTTTGATTTTGTAGGTTAAATCATTTTGATATTTATTCTTCGATTTAATTTTCCTAATTTGCGCATTGTCAATACACTTTTCCTTTTTCTTAATGATTTCATCTTTGGTCAAGGCTCGTTTTTCTCTCATTCGCTGTCTACTGCGCTTCCTAATTTGATTAGAACTTTGTCTGTTTTTACGTGTTTTTTTTCCTGGGTCTACATTTCTAACATGAACTTCTCCAATTATTATTAATTTGTCATTACTATCAACACATTTGCTTGCATCAATTCTTAAGCTGTCGTTCTCATTCATTTTCACCCATTTGCATTTTCGAATTTCCTTGCCAAGGTCAACATCAACTTTTGCATCGCTTTCAAGATTACTCCATTTTCGTTTTCTGCTTAAGATAGAGTTGGAATTCTGAACTTTGGTCACTAAATTCAATCTATCAGAGTCATTTTCACATTTAGTACCATTTTTTGAGTCTCCCTTTTGTTCATTTTCATATTCTGTTTTCATGGAGTCATTTCCTTTCAGAAGACAACTATTATTCAGCTGTGGTTCTTTTAGTTTGGTTAAGGTAATTGTCACACTCTTCAGTTTTAATTCCTGACCGTTATAATGTACATCATGACTGATTGTTTCATTTGCTTTTTCAGGGAAGAGAAATACATTTGGGTTATCAATCATCTTTTGTGGGGAAACACTCTCATCCAATATTTGAACTTCATCAAAGCTTTCACAATGTATGGAACATCCAGAGCTTCCAGACTGACTTTCACTATGCGTATTTGACGAAGGAATTGGATTACAAACAAAATCCTGTAACTGTGGATAGCCTTTCAAGGTTTCATTCTTACCGGAAGTTGCTTTAGCACATACACTAGTTACTTCATATTCGGTGTGCAGGGGGCATCCCATTGATTTTGCTAACCTCATGCAATGCTTGTACACACCTTGCCAGCTTTGAGTACGAAGTACAACACTGTGTCCGTTACAACTCAGGAAACCTCGACTGCTTCTGGAATGTGAATCAAATATAAAGAAACCATCTTGACCAGATAATACAATGAAAGTACTTCGAGCAAATGTCACAAAACATGCATCAGAATCAGTACAGAGTTCTTTTTCAAGTGCTTGCTTCAATGTCATCGAAAGAGACTGGGCCAATATCAATTCATCTCCATCTAACAATCCAGTGACTGGTTCACGGCATACTATGTTAAACAATTCATTGTACGCATCCAAATATTCAAATAGATCAGATATCAATAAGTATTCGTTGTCGAGTGAAGTGGATCGCCGTATGTAACAGTATAATTCATTACCGTTATTCAAAATCCTGTCTAGATCTGCACTTTTCCAATCATTGGCATTTTTTACCTTGCTATACAACAGTGCAGATAGTGAATTGGTAACACACTGCTTTCCACTTAAGTGACCAAATCTTGTATCACCTTGATTGAATGTCCCTTGGGCAACAAGCGTTATTTGTGTATCGACTCTCGTGCATTTGTCTTTGTGATCACTTTCAAGGGTTTCATCCTTGGTGTTACGTTCGTTGTGAACGACTGATTCAGACTGATTACTTGCACACTGTTCATATGTCATGTCAAAAAGATTTGCAGTACTTTTCCTCTCATCGTGATTTATTGTACCAGTCTCCAACGTGAGCCTACGTTTTTTTTCCCTTTGGATCAGCATGGTTTTGAAATGTTTCAGGAGACTTATCCACTACTTCATCAATTTCTTCCTCTATCTGACACTTGGATCTACACTTCTTCAACAGATGCTTTACTTTAACATCAGCCTGAATTGATTGACATGGCAAAGTTCTCTTTGACGTTCTATCTTCTTTAGTTGTTCTTGTCTGTTCCAATGAATTGAAATTGACAAAATCTACAGATTCAACAACATTAAAATGAACATTTCCTGTGTACAGTATATAAATTCCCTTATCAGATGTTACAATATTTATTCTTCCAGGTTTCTTTGCAGAGAACAATTGCCAACATGGTACTTGGTCATTGTATGAATAAATATCAGTATCGATTAAATTTGCTAAAGCGCTAATTTCAGTGTCTGTAGCCCACGTTCCGTCTTCCTTTATTCTACGTTTCAAAACATATTCTCTGACTGTTCTATATTCTTGCCTCAATGTATTACTAAACATGTCCTTGGTTTGCAATAAATGTTTCACAGTGGCATTTCTTAAAATTGCATGATTACGCTCAGTTCCAGAAATTACATAGGAAATTGCACGAAAGAAACAATTGCCATCACCAGTAATTTGTTTACTCTGTAAAGGAACTCCAATACAGCTATTTCTATCTAACCTTGAATCACAGCCTTTGCCTATATATCTGATATTCAGTTTTGAACAAATGTTCCGTTTGTCATTATTCTGGAGGGGTACAAATTTGAAATCTTTATCTGGTCTATCACGTAATCCAAGATCTGCTACAAATTCAACTTCTGTTTCTGTTTCATCAGTACATGTGTACATATTAGCATCTATTGCCTTTTCAATGTCTTCATCTTTGATATTTGAATCTGAAGAAGATTCTAAAGGATTCCTTGAATAAGCATGATCATTAAATGACATATCAGTATCATTGTCTGTACCATCTTTTACTGTATCAAAGCTTCTATTCTTCAGGTCATTGTCAAACAGTACTGCATCTTCTTCTACACCATCTGAAACATATGAAAAATCATTTTTCATCATATCATCATTTTCCAATACTGATTCACAGATATTGTCTACTGGTTCATTTATGGGCATATCTTTTGGTCTATCACAAACATTCAAAGGCATATTGCGTTGTGGTAAAACACTTCTATCGAATAAATCATATCCAGGACTTGTGTCTGTATCACTATCAGATTCTATACAATTTCTTGCACACGAACGTTTCACTGGTATATGAACATCACTGCCACTATCATCATCTGTTTCAATTTCCCTATTTTCATCAAAATTTGATTTCAACAGATTATTCTTTGAATCGTCCTGCACAACTCCATCTGAACCTTTGTTGTTTTTCATATTGCAAATATGCTGGTCTGAGTGTTCATCATTTTTACATGTATTTGGATCAAGTCCTTGGTCACTTGCATTCATAGATTTCTTTGTATCCAGCTTCTCATTCTTTACTGCTAATTCTATTCCTTCATCTTTGTCAAATCTAATCTCTGATTTATCAGAAGAGTGATTTCCATCAGTGCCTTTTTTCCCCGCTTTGGAAGACTGACCTTTTTTGTTCCTTGCTCGACCTTTCTTGTTCTTTGCTTCTTTTTTCTTGCCACCAGCATGAACTCTGTACATTCGGAAATCCTTGATCTGTTCAAAAAGATTACGAGTGCAGGCATGAATATCAACACATGAATCTGTTCTTGATCGAGATGGCAAATAACCTGCTACGTCAGCCCAAGATCGTGTCTGCATCGTTTCAATTTGCACACAGGTCTCACTGTACAATTTCATTGAACATGGGGATTGCACACTGTATGCATATATAGCCAAAAGAGTTTCTACATAAGACTGCAAACTGACATCTTCTCTTTTCACATTCTTGTTTTCCTTACATACATTTTTCTTTCGGTTTCCATTTTTTTTCTCATGACTTTCATAGAATGTCTTCATTGCTTTGCCAATGTAAGTCACACCTGGTTCCAAGACTACACCATTCACTGATTTTCTTCTGATTTTCCTGTCTGTTTGATGATCATCTATTGATTTGGGATACAATTTTCTTGACTTTAGTTTCTCCACCCATTTCGTCTTCTTTGATTTCAGAGTTACCCAGTCATCCTCAAATTTTTCATTTTGCATCTCTTCGTGTTCTATTTGGGATGGATTTTCCATGGCCAAAGGATTATGTCTATCAGACTCATTTGTTTTCCTGTCAGTTATATGATGTTGTGTTCCTCTCAATCGATTGGTTTTCTTTCCCTTTTTACCATACCTCTTCTTTGATCTGCCACATTTTCTTTTGTTGGTCGTACTTGATAGGGTCCTTGATTGGTTCAAATCCAAGTAACAGTGTTCATCATGATCACCAAGAAGTTCGTATCTATTGAAATGAGAAGGGATACATACTTGATCAAACATGCGATGAGCCATGTTGTTATTTCCACACAAAGAACAAATCCAAATCAATCTCCTATCATTCAGTTTGTCTTCACAGGGCAGTTGCATACATGAAACATGAAAATGACTATTGCAAAACTCACAAACTGAACTTATTTCATTTCCGATCTCACTTTCACATATGCAGCATGCATCAAACTCTGAATTCATCAGCGGTGCACAAGTAGACAGTACATGTAAGATTTCATCAACAACTGTCTTGAATTCAGTAGTGTCTATCAATCTTCTATCATTTGTGTCATTGATTGTCTCCTTACATGGAAAACCCATACAAGTAACATGATAGGGACCAGTACATGACTTGCAAGTTACAGTAATCTCATCCTCTCCAATTAAATTCTTACAAACACAACATGTATCAGTGTATTCATCCATCACAAAATATCTCGTACAAAGCTTTGAACTATAAGATTACAACTGCCCTTTTGCTTCTTTGCCAAGACAAGGTTTTCCGTTCCAAATTATCTTATACAGTGTATCTGTATTCAAATTATGATGCACAATTGTAATTTGAAGTATCACTGTTATCAATATCAATTCAAAATCTTTACTGAAATTCAGTGTATATCAAAGCCTGAACTACAGACTATTATGTTTTTGTTTCAAGATAAAAACTCCTCTAGAGGAAGCCTTCTATTCGAGCTGTAATGTCTTGATCACCTCAAATTGCCTTATAATGGTCTTTGATTTGCTGTTCAAAGTGTTTGCTTTTGGGGGGATTTCTTTATTTTTTAAAGTTAAATGTATGGATTATAGGTCAATGTATGTTGTATTTTGTATAATAGACAATGCAATATCTTGTCAATACTGTATTCCTTCTTGGAATTATTTCCTTTCAACAAAAATGAAAATTAATGCCTAGAAAAATATATAGCTTTCGACAAAAGATGGCGCTCTTCGGCAATTGTGTTAAATATTAATCTAGAAGGTATTGATTGCGACGGAATTTCTCTTAATTATATTAGTTTGCCTTGTGATGGCGCTCTATTAACAACAATCTGTATTAAATCTCTGTGTAAAAAAAGTCCACTTTATATCCTAATTTAAATATTTTTCTGATTATCTTTCTAATCAATCAAGCCGATTTATATTTATAAAACTATATATATATATCCTGATACAATGTTCCTTCTCAACCTCTCTGCAATCGGCTTACTTATAATACTAAAGCTATGAACACTACAGGAGCCTATATCCAGACACAAATTTCTTTCTTTATCAAATCAATTCACTTTTTTTTCTCTGTACACTAACAATTTTCTCCAATATCTTAAACAAGCAATCAACCAGTCAACTTTATTTCTTTCACTAAAAATCAACTCAAAAAAGAAATTTTCTTTTATTTATTGTTTATTAACACTCTTGTTGGTCTTAAAGTTATGTTTCTATATTCAACCTTATATGCTAAAGGTAATATTCACGAATTTCACTTTTATCAAATCACTCAATCAACCAACCAATCAAAAATATCTCTATCTCTCACAATCAATTTCTAACAATTCAGTTATTCAATCAATTCACTTTTTTTTCTCTATACACTAACAATTTTCTCCAATATCTTAAACAAGCAATCAACCAGTCAGCTTTATTTCTTTCACTAAAAATCAACTCAAAAAGAAATTTTCTTCTCTTTATTGTTTATTAACACTCTTGTCCAATCTCGTTTCGTATCTTATTTTCTAGTTTTCACACAATTTCACACAGTTTGAGCAACACAACACAGAAATTGAAGATTCAATTTCAGAAAGACAGAGTAAGATCAAGATTGAGTTTCAGTAAGACAGAGTAAGATAATGAAGATTCAGATTGAGTAGATAGAGTAAGATAATGAAGATTCAGATTGAGTAGATAGAGTAAGATAATGAAGATTCAGATTGAGTAGATAGAGTAAGATAATGAAGATTCAGATTGAGTATAGATAGAGTAAGATAATAAAGATTCAGATTGAGTAGACAGAGTAAGATAATGAAGATTCAGATTGAGTAGACAGAGTAAGATAATGAAGATTCAGATTGAGTAGAAAGAGTAAGATAATGAAGATTCAGATTGAGTAGATAGAGTAAGATAATGAAGATTCAGATTGAGTAGATAGAGTAAGATAATGAAGATTCAGATTGAGTAGATAGAGTAAGATAATGAAGATTCAGATTGAGTAGATAGAGTAAGATAATGAAGATTCAGATTGAGTAGACAGAGTAAACAGACTTTAGGATCAAGGATAAAGTATCAAGTATAAGGTATAAGATGTAAGGTATAAGATATAAGTAGGTAAGTATGTAAGTAGGTAAGTAGGGAAGTATATTCAGATATATTCAGATAAGTATATTCAGATAAGTATATTCAGATATATTCAGATATTGATATGCTGTGTACCACAATTCGAATTGACTCACACCTAGCTTATAAGTGCTAGGGCTATTGTCGTGAATTGTGTATAAACAGACTTGAGAATTGCTGTGTACCACAATTCGAATTGACTCACACCTAGCTTATAAGTGCTAGGGCTATTGTCGTGAATTGTGAATAAACAGACTTTAGGATGGGATTCTGGATGAAATTTCAAATGAACTTCTGAATGAGTACTGCTTTTCTCAAAAACTCAGATAGCGAGTTCCGAGGGTGAAGATGGAATGGTATGGTATGGTATGTAATGATTTGAATATGATATCTGGAATGGGAATGGGATTCTGGATGAAACTTCAAATGAACTTCTGAATGAGTACTGCTTTTCTCAAAAACTCAAGATCACGAGTTTTGAGGGTGAAGATGGAATGGTATGGTATGTAATGTTTTGAAAAATGAAGATGATTTGACAACACAAACACAAATTGCCTTCCAAAGCAACCAGTACCTGCCAAAAGAACAGAGACAGAAAATTGAATACATAATCAACCTTACATACAGTAGCTCAAATCTCTTGGGATCCATAAAATAGCTTTCTGAGAGACTGAGGGGTCATAAAACAATAGGACAAAACAGGTTGGGTTCTGTGTAGACCTTCGACTTTGGCAAGTTTTGACTTATCCAAGTTCAACTTAGGCAAGGTCACATGTACAATATGTATTGCATTAGACTAAAATCAAGACATTTGTGCATGTTTGCACTATGTGTTTAACAACCACCCCCCCCCCCTTTTTTTTTCATCAGTGAAAAAAATACACGGGGGCTCGGGGCGATTTAGCCCCCAAAATGCCCAAAAGAGCCCCCGAAAACCAGAAAAGAGCCCCCATAAATTTGCATAGAGTTCAATGCAAAACAAATTTTAGAATGTTATATTCATGCAGGCAAGCTTGAAAAGTAGCCCCCGAAAAATAAATATTAATTTTTTCCCTGTTTTTCATCTTGACCAACTCCTTACATGTTTGATGGATTCTATTCAAATTTTGGCAACACCCAATGGAAGAGTCTACAATTGATGGGCTTAATATGATGGCTGAGACATGTTTCATTTAATTAGACTGTGTGCAGTCTACTGGTATGCCTCCTTCTTCCCATGAACCACAGTATTGCCATAGCCCTCAATATAATTATTTGACTTGTCAAGCAGAAAATGTCTATGTAAATATAACCTTGATATATAACACCAAAAACTATTCTTCCTTATTTTTGTACGAAGTGTGAAGATCTTGAAAACACAGGTACTATTGCACATTAAAAATGTAAACAGTGCAATGTAATATAGCCATAAAAAGCATAAACCGTGGTCTAAATCTAAACCACCTTTGTGAATTCCAGCCATTATGGCTAATAGCAGAATACCAAGTAATCATTTTAGTAAAAAATCATTTTGGACAGGATATGAAAGCTACAAGGTTAATTGTCACAATAGTCTAACCACTTTCCCCTATTCGGACAGAGGTATACACAGAATGTGCAATACAGGTTTGACAAATAAGGTTTTTCAATGTGTAAAATGTTTTTTATTCTTTAGTCTTGCAGGTATGCCATAACATTTGACCTAATTTAAACTTTGACCTACATAATTGACCCATGATCTCAACACAACATGGAGGTTTCCAATGAATGACTCATCCAAATTTTGGCCTTAAACAATCCCATGGTTTAAAACTTTTTCACCCAATATGCCAACAGATTTATTTGATCTCATTGTAGGCTTATTTCACAATGTAATCTCATTTTTTTTAAATTGCTGCATGTGCAATCAAAATCATAGTATTTGCTTTGACAATTGTTCATTTTGTGTCTTCCTATAGAATCAGCTCAACTGACCTTAAAGTCAAAACATAAGTAAAATTAAATCAGTGCCACTACATGGCATAACATAATTAATCCTTTTTGAAAAGTTACTACTATGGCCGTATGCTAAACACGATCAACTTAAGTCCCCTAATACTTACTTAAACACCACTACCTCCTTCCAGCAACTCCAACACTCGTCCTACATTGAAAAGAAGAAAAAAAAAAAAAACTAAAAACTAAAAAGTAAGAAATAAATAACTATCACTAAAAGTGATAAATACCCACACTATCACATTGTGGTTTATAATGTTAACTAATTACCCACTATTCACATAACTGTCTTGATCATGTACATCTCAAACTCATCAAATCTATCATGTTTCATTTCCAATGATTTACATACTCCGAAATCGCGTGAAAATTTTGCAGCACGCTTTCATGAGTTTTTTCATTCAAATCTTACGCATCTTTTGACACCAACTTTGCGAAAATCGGGCGTACCACTGCTAAGTCATGTGACCTTTTCTGACCCCATGTCAGCCTAAAATTGGAGGATTTAATGATTTTGTGTACAAAACGAATGGGAAACTGTATCTCTCATTTGCTTAGTAAATTAGCCATCGTTTCCCAATTCACAATCAATTATCCTCTTTTTTGTCTCAATATTGATCCTGATGGAAAAAACTATAAAAAAAACGAAAGAAATAAATAAAAATTGAAAACATTACAATACATAAGAAATTCATAAAATAAAATACATAATAGAAATTGAATCAAATGTTTTGTTAGTGGATGATTGCTTCTAAGCTTAATCAGAAACATTTCATACAAAAATTTGCTCAAAATAATCACTATTAACTGAATTATCAATGAAAATTTTAATAACAAAATCAAATATTTTCAAATAAATTAACAATGCAATCTTGTTCTTTACGTGAATAAGGAGATGCGTGCAAAATTTCGCGATGATCAGACATTCAATGGCCGAGATCTTGGGGGGGGGCCATCATGCCCCCCCCCCCCCCCCATCCTCAACACCTCCGAAATAGCCCATCCTTTTTAGGGTTAAGATATCGCGATAAAGAGGCCATTAGCTGTAAATTCATAACTTCACATTTTACATACTAGTATATACTACCTATAATTGTATGTCATACAATTAAGTTTTCCAATACAATGAAACCAAGATTACACATTTTAGCTAAACAATTGAGATGTTAGAGCCTACTGCCTGAGGCAGTACGCCTATATGATGAAGGAAAACCTTATTCCTAATGGTATTCTATAGAAATGGTTCCTTGCCTAATAATAAACATATGCATGATTTTCCTTCGACTGAGACATGGTCATTATTCAAAATAGAGGCATGCAGTATTGTCAATGTGGATGGGAAGATAACATCCTAATGGCGATTGTCACATTGATGAGTAGACTATTCTGCTTTTATTAAAACCACTGTTGCTTCAAAGTAGACTTCCCCTTTAACTCAACGTATCAAAAAAAGACGATATGTGTCAGAGTTCACTTAGCAATTTAGCATTAATATTAATTAGATCAGATTTCCTTCAACTTAAAAGAACATATCAATTTCCTTTTTTTTTTAATTGCACAACAAATGTGAAGCAACATTCTTTTAGAATAGACCAAAATCTATAAACCATGAATCTGCATAGCATCCTCCTCCAAGACCGGGGGAAAAGAATTTGCTATAATGAGCTCATGCTTTGGTTGTCTGTACAATTATGCAATTTGCTGGTCATACATGTAAATTAGTTTAACTACCTATCCTAACTCATGAAAAGGAAACATCTATTGATTTGGATGTCGGTGACCTCTTGCATAAATTATTTTTCTTTATGTTAAATGAGCACAAAACTACTTGGGTCATTTCATCAGGTTGGAACACACTAGGACTTAAAGGTGTGAAATGGCTCTGTATCATCACAGGTATCACTACTTTTGATACAGTTAATAGAAGAAGCACCTTTGGGTGTCCAAGAAATGGACAAAGTTTTAAGACATATGCAGGTGTCTTGTCCAAGATATGATAGAATACACATTTAAGTTTTTCAGACATTTACAGCATGCAGAATGGAACATTTACACATCAAACAGCATATCTGGTAATATTTGGTTTATTTGATGACAAACTAACGTAATTAATCTTTTTGGTGTTGACTTTTATGCACTCTCATTAGTAAACAAAATCATTTGGACAAATTCATGTTGTAAATGTCAGAATATCTTGAATGTGTGTGAAAGTACGACGTAACATTACGGCGGTGTAATGTTACGTCGTACTTTCACACACATTCAAGATATTCTGACATTTACAACATGAATTTGTCCAAATGATTTTGTTTACTAATGAGAGGGCATAAAAGTGTTACATCTTCCACTAAGTTTTTGATCATATCTCGGACAAAAAACAAGGGTATGTTTTAAATATTTGTAAATTTCTTGCACAATTGAAGGTGCTTTTTCTGTAAAATAACTGTATCAAAATAAGTGATACTTCTGATGATACAATGCCATGTCACACCTCTGCATCCCAACCTGATGAAATGACCCACTTTCCAATATACCTACACAGGAATAACTTGCTCTCTCCCACCACAAACTTTGCTCCTTGACCACAAATCTTGATGTCAACTGATGTCAGCTGTCTTCAAAAAACAAAACAGAAGACAAACATATGGGTAAAACATCACAAAAAGAAAAATACACAATTTTAATACATATACAGTGCATCTCAAAAAAAACTATACACTTTTAAAGGCTGCCAAATAAAAAATATATGGTTTTGGGGGAAAAACTGATTCAGGAGAAAATGATTCATGCTTGGATGAGCACTGCTCATATTTGTAAAGGGTATGGAAATTAGGGTGCACAGGAATGGGCCTTTCAATTTTGTGAGAGAAAAGTCCTTTGGAGCTTACGGAATTGAGGATTATATGAAAAAATTAAGATCAAATGTGATGAGTTTGGGTTTGCCGAGTGAAATTTGTGGTTTATGGGATTGATATTTTATGCATAAGTGAACAGGTATTGCATTTATTCGACTTAGGCAAGGTCACCTGTACTATATGTTTTGCATTGGACTAAAATCAGAATACATCTATACGTTTGCACTAGGTGTTCAATAAAAATAAAAAAATCTTCTTTATCAACTCCTTACATAATTCACTATGGATTCTCTTCAAATTTTGGCAACACCCAATGGAAGAGTATTGAGAATTGTCCACAAAATTATGTTACATACCTACGAAAAAAATGTTATATAGAAATTTCATTAAGCCATAGCTTTCCTATTCCACGTTCAATTATGTCCCCAATTATGCAGATCTGTTTCATTCCATTGTAGCTTTAATTTAAAAACTACTCGACTTCAGCCTTTTTAAGCAGATCAACTTACTCTCTGCAACTCTCTGCAACTCTCTGCAACTCTCTGCAACTCTGAAAACAGTCAATAACCTGAAAGAAAAAAAGAAAAGAAAAAAACAATTGCATTTTATAAAATACCAATATGAATATATTACACAAATAAATACAAATAGTGAGCCCTCATCCAATGCTTAAAGATACCATGTCCCTTTTGCAGCCAACATCAAATTCTGTAGAACTTTGCAGGAATTATGAATATGTCATGTATGTCCTATCTGTGAAATTTAAACATTAGCAGTGTCCTAATATTCAAATTATGCAAAGAAACCCGTTTACTTGCTAGACTAGCTTCACTGTCAGACACTATTGAGTGACTCACTGGCTTTTTTCTTCTTTGGTAATAACATACATGTACATAAAATGAGCTGTAAAGGGTATATGAGCATTTGTCAACATCAATATCCCACTTCTGCTTGTAATGGCCAAAATTAAACTGATTGAATCTTTGCGCAGCATAAAATGTACGACCATTCGGTACAATGGTCTGAAAATAAGACAATTACTTACTGGCTCTATAGTTCTTAAGTCGATTCGACAACTAATAGTCGTTATTTTCCAACTTAAAGACATTTTCAAGCCCCACATCTTTTTTAAGGGAAGTTCTAAATTAGTATTATCTTTCAAATGCCGTTGGAATGTAACCTTCTCATTTTGTTGGCCTGCAAATGGGACATAGTACCTTTAAAGGTAAAGACCAGTTTGGGTCATGCGATTGCATTGGGACGCTAAACATGTAAACAAAAATTAATGGCCTAACTCAAATCTTTTGGGACCCATAAAATAGCTTTGACTTAGACAAATTTTGATTTAGGAAGGTTATAAAATAATGGGACAAAACAGGATGGGCTACGTGTAGACGTTCAACCATAGCAATTTTTGACTTATCCAAGTTCGACTTAGGCAAGGTCACCTGTACTATATGTTTTGCATTGGACTAAAATCAAAATACATCTATACGTTTGCACTAGGTGTTCAATAAAAAAAAAAAAATCTTCTTTATCAACTCCTTACATAATTCACTATGGATTCTCTTCAAATTTTGGCAACACCCAATGGAAGAGTATTGAGAATTGTCCACAAAATTATGTTACATACCTACGGAAAAAATGTTATATAGAAATTTCATTAAGCCATAGCTTTCCTATTCCACGTTCAATTATGTCCCCAATTATGCAGATCTGTTTCATTCCATTGTAGCTTTAATTTAAAAACTACTCGACTTCAGCCTTTTTAAGCAGATCAACTTACTCTCTGCAACTCTCTGCAACTCTCTGCAATTCTGAAAACAGTCAATAACCTGAAAGAAAAAAAAGAAAAGAAAAAAACAATTGCATTTCATAAAATACCAATATGAATATATTACACAAATAAATACAAATAATGAGCCCTCATCCAATGCTTAAAGATACCATGTCCCTTTTGCAGCCAACATCAAATTCTGTAGAACTTTGCAGGAATTATGAATATGTCATGTAAGTCCTATCTGTGAAATTTAAACATTAGCAGTGTCCTAATATTCAAATTATGCAAAGAAACCCGTTTACTTGCTAGACTAGCTTCACTGTCAGACACCATTGAGTGACTCACTGGCTTTTTTCTTCTTTGGTAATAACATACATGTACATAAAATGAGCTGTAAAGGGTATATGAGCATTTGTCAACATCAATATCCCACTCCTGCTTGTAATGACGTGATCGTAACGAGAAAAAAGTCATTAAAAACTACGAGGGCGCAATTGGAACTACTGGAACTAATTGGAACTACTGCTCAAAATTACCATAATCAGATACATAACTTGGACAAAAAATTCAATAATTGCCCAAGAAATGCCACAGAAATTGTGATAATCGAGGAGTAACTGGGTACATTTTTATCGCCTGCTGCAAATACTAGAATCCTTTGTTCTACTGCTTTTCACCGTAGAGGGCGGTATTTGGTTTCTATAGCCTCGTGTTCAATTTAAACACGTGTAATTTTGACATATCAGCAGGCCCATTCCGATAATGATTGTACCTATAGTAACTCCTTAAATATCACTATTTCTGTGGCTTTTCTTGGACAACTATTGTATTCTTCCTCCAAGTTATGTATCTGCTTACGATAATTTTGGGTAGTTGTCTTTCCAATTGTGCTCTCGTAGTTTTTAATGATTTTTTTCTCGTTACGATCACGTCTTTGTTTGGGTTTGTTCTGGCACGCATTACAGCTAACGACGAGCACTGCGCATTTTTCCGAGACTAATCTGAACTTGCCTTGCAACAGCTATCCGTATCGAAACTTCATGTGATTACCAAGTAATTTTCAGCTTTTAAAAGAAGCATGCGGTGTTCAAAATCAAAGAAAAAATATATATTTTGTCTTTTAAAAATTATTCGATCGGTATGTTGTAAAGAAGTACTTTTTAGAAAGCCGTTTTATTATTCAAACATTAATGTTTCTTTCAACCTGATATATTAATCCTGCCGAGAGACCCGGCCAGTTCAGTAGCTAGCTAGCAGCTGGCAACAACCCCATGGGGCGAACTGCTTTGCAACCCATATTTATATCAGCAATTTGGATTGATTCAGGATGAACTAGAATATGATTGGTAACAATTAAATACTTATGTTTTAAGGTGGATTGATTTTAGTGGTGTGCAAAACTACAATTTCTTACATATTTCATTATTTTTTTCGGAGCGTCGGTTCTCAAAAAACGAAACCGGGTCCCGACGGCAACGGTCAGGTCCCGGTGTGATCGACCGTACCGACTCAAGCCTAGTTTTGATGCCATGTACCTTCATATCAAATTTGATTAAAATCTGTCAAACATTACTAAAGTTATCGATTGGAAACCAGATTTGCATATTTAATGAGCTATGACCTTTGACCTACATACTCGGAAATTGAACTTATGCTGTGTTTTTATACTATGTACCTTCATATCGAATTTCATGAAAATCCATCAAATAATACTAAAGTTATCAAACAGAAACCAGATTCGCATATTTAATGAGCTATGACCTGTGACCTACATACTCCGAAATTGAACTTATGCTATGTTTTTATACCATGTACCTTCCTATCAAATTTCATTAAAATCTGTCAAACATTACTAAAGTTATCGAATAGAAACCAGATTTGCACATTTAATGAGCTATGACCTTTGACCTACATACTCTGAAACTGAACTTATGCTGTATTTTGATAGCATGTACCTTCATATCAAATTTGATTAAAATCTGTCAAACATTACTAAAGTTATCGATCGGAAACCAGATTCGAATATTTAATGAGCCATGACCTTTGACCTACATACTCGGAAATTGAACTTATGCTGTGTTTTTATACCATGTACCTTCATATCGAATTTCATGAAAATCCATGAAATATTACTAAAGTTATCGAACAGAAACCAGATTCGCATATTTAATGAGCTATGACCTTTGACCTACATACTCCGAAATTGAACTTATGCTATGTTTTGATACCATAAACCTTCCTATCAAATTTCATTAAAATCTGTCAAACATTACTAAAGTTATCGAATAGAAACCAGATTTGCACATTTAATGAGCTATGACCTTTGACCTACATACTCCGAAACTGAACTTATGCTGTATTTTGATAGCATGTACCTTCATATCAAATTTGATTAAAATCTGTCAAACATTACTAAAGTTATCGAAAAGAAACCAGATTTGCACATTTAATGAGCTATGACCTTTGACCTACATACTCCGAAACTGAACTTATGCTGTATTTTGATAGCATGTACCTTCATATCGAATTTCATGAAAATCCATGAAATATTACTAAAGTTATCGAACAGAAACCAGATTCGCATATTTAATGAGCCATGACCTTTGACCTACATACTCGGAAATTGAACTTATGCTGTGTTTTTATACCATGTACCTTCATATCGAATTTCATGAAAATCCATGAAATATTACTAAAGTTATCGAACAGAAACCAGATTCGCATATTTCATGAGCTATGACCTTTGACCTACATACTCCGAAATTGAACTTATGCTATGTTTTTATACCATGTACCTTCCTATCAAATTTCATTAAAATCTGTCAAACATTACTAAAGTTATCGAATAGAAACCAGATTTGCACATTTAATGAGCTATGACCTTTGACCTACATACTCCGAAACTGAACTTATGCTGTATTTTGATAGCATGTACCTTCATATCAAATTTGATTAAAATCTGTCAAACATTACTAAAGTTATCGATCGGAAACCAGATTCGCATATTTAATGAGCCATGACCTTTGACCTACATACTCGGAAATTGAACTTATGCGGTGTTTTTATACCATGTACCTTCATATCAAATTTCATGAAAATCCATCAAATATTACTAAAGTTATCAAACAGAAACCAGATTCGCATATTTAATGAGCTATGACCTTTGACCTACATACTCCGAAATTGAACTTATGCTATGTTTTTATACCATGTACCTTCCTATCAAATTTCATTAAAATCTGTCAAACATTACTAAAGTTATCGATCGGAAACCAGATTCGCATATTTAATGAGCCATGACCTTTGACCTACATACTCGGAAATTGAACTTATGCTGTGTTTTTATACCATGTACCTTCATATCGAATTTCATGAAAATCCATCAAATATTACTTAAGTTATCGAACAGAAACCAGATTCGCATATTTAATGAGCTATGACCTTTGACCTACACACTCCGAAATTGAACTCATGCGGTGTTTTTATACCATTTAGGCCTGCGCCTAGGTCTACCTTCATATCAAATTTCATTAAAATCCGTCAAACATTACTAGGGTCTAAAGTTATTGATTTTAAACCAGATTTGTTACAGCACACAGAAGGAAGGGCTTCGACAGCGAGCAGCATATTAATACAGGGGTCTAAGTTGGATCCCCTCCTTCTTTGGTGAGGGGATAATTATTATCCCATGACTTTTACAAGCCGATCGCCTGTCAGCTGTGACCTGTCTAATTATCAACTATCAAGATATTTATGATTGGAATTAGAAATTAATAGATCTAGACTAGATCTAGGTCTAGTCTAGATCTATGATCTAGGCCTATAGTCAGATATAGTATCTAGATCTAGATCTAGTAGTAGGCTTAGATCCCTACGGACTTACGGTTTACCCTGACTTAGATCTAGAACTAGGTAGGTCTAGATCTAGATCTAGACTAGGTATACGGTCTACACTCTACAGTCTATTGGGGGAAATGAGTATGGTAAAACCGGTCACTCAAAGTCAAACTGAGTCAAAGATTTTCACTTTTTTGAAACACTTCCTTTTCGTTTTTCGTAGGGCTTCAAAATTCAATCACAATCACACTGAGCTGATGATAACACGCATGTACGCAGACCCGAAACATGTACCGTATACGTAAGATGTATCGCATCTCAGACTTGATTTGTAAAACTGCAAACATTATTATAAACACAGTCAATGCCTTTAAAAGTTTAATACACTCACACACTTATGCGATAACGCAAAATCTCCAACAAACTAATAAGAAAGGATTCACGATAAAGTAATACAATAGCAACAACCGAATTCTAAGTCTTACCAAAGCTAAGCTAGCAATCAGCACAACAGCACAACTAAACAGCAGTAGCGTACTCAGAAACTCATATGACCATATTGCATGCAATTCGAATCGGCCAAAATCTTGGTCAGATTAAATTCGCCCTACAGACAATTCGCCCAGTATATTTCTCGCGCATATAATTTCTCACGAAATGCATGATTTTGCGTGTTTATATCTAAGGGAAAAGGAATGTCAAAAATATGGATATCTGATACCTTGTCGTTTAGGCCATGTAAAAAAAATATACATGTTTAGCGTCCCCGCCCGCTTCCTTTTTGGGGGCCGCCTCCTATTATTTTTTTGATTTTTTTTTTTTTTTTGTTTAAAGAAAAAAAACATAAAAAAACCTGCTACGCAATGGATCTATTTCTGATTTTAAAAAAATAAATAAAAAATGTCGGCGGCCATTTTGAAAAGTAGTCCAACTGACAGGGAAAATGTACCGAGCGGCCATTTTGAGCGGCCATTTTCAACGAAAAAAAAAGAAAAAAAGGGCCTCCTTCCTATTTTTCCAAAAAACAGGACGCTAAACATGTTTTTTTTTTTTATTTGGCCTTATTCCATTTCTCCTTCATTTTCTCTAGCTCTTTCCGTTGCCTAGCTTTGGCTAGCTTTGTGTATACCCTACCACCATTTCCTTATCCTCCCGCTATCCTCTCCTTCCAAGACATATGTATGCATTTCTGATTCCTCGATCTTTCATCCCTCTGTCCAGCTCATGTATTTTTACATGACTATATACCGTCTTTCTCTTTCCTTCTCTTTATTTATATCTCACCATTTTTCATTTTGATGACGTCTTCATAGTCAAAATTTCGATTAATTTAAATGCAAAATGTCAGAATTTTCTGAATTTGCGTGTCATGCCTATCGAAGGTGAGTTTTTCTGAAATCTGGATTCTACATTCCTGTCTTTTGCGAGCAATATCGCGATTATTTCTGCTTGGTTTTTGTTGATTTTTGAGTATGTTGTAGCTAAGACTATATGTTATCTAAATGTCCCCTCATTTTTTCAATCAGATGTCAGGATCACGCTCATGATCATCATCATGGTCTGAAATCTGGATTCTACATTCCTGTCTTTTGCAAGCAATATCGCCATTATTTCTGCTTGGTTTTTGTTGATTTTTGAGTATGTTGTAGCTGAGACTATATGTTATCTAAATGTCCCCTCATTATTTCAATCAGATGTCAGGATCACGCTCATAAATGATCATCATCACTATCATCATGATCATCATCAATATCATCATGATGATCATCATCATGTATACGTCTGACGATGATCATCATCAAAATCATCAGGATCATGCATGATCATGATCATCAACATCATCATCATCATCATTAACATTATCATTATAATCATCATCATCATCATCACCATTACTATATCAAGATCATCATCTTCATCATCATTATGATCATCATTGTTTACATGTACATGTCTATATAATTTCTCTCTTAATTTCTCTATATGGGAGATGACTTTTTCTCAAATCTGGATTCTACATTCCGTTCTTTTGCAAACAATATATATCGCTGTTATTTCCGCTTGGTTTTTGTTGATTTTTAAGTATGTTGTAGCTGAGACTATATGCTATCAAAATGTCTCCCTCATTTTTTCAATCAGATGTCAGCATGATCATGATCATCATCAATATCATCATGATCATGATCATGATCATTAACATCATCATCGTCATCATCAACATTATCATTATCATCGTCAACATCGTATTCACCATTACTATCAAGATCATCATCATCATCATCATCATCATTGTTTACATGTCTATATAACTTCTTCCATTCTCAAATCTATCATAAGACTTAGACAGACCACCTTATTCGTCCTCGTGACGAATTAAATTCTAGTTATTATCAGGTGGGCTGTATAACGTACAGACCACCTTATAATTTCGTTAGAATTGCCTTTATCAGGTGGGCTGTATAACGTACAGACCACCTTATAATTTCGTTAGAATTGCCTTTATTTATTTATTTATTTATTATCAGGTGGGCTGTATGACGTACAAACCACCTTATAATTTCGTTAGAATTGCCTTTATTTATTTATTTATTTATTAGGTGGTCTGTCGATGACAGATCACCTATTGATTTCGTTAGAATTTTCTTTCTTTATTCTTTATTCTTTATTCTTTATTCTTTATTTATTAGGTGGTCTGTCAACGACAGATCACCTATTGATTTCGTTAGAATTTTCTTTCTTTATTTATTTATTCTTTATTAGGTGGTCTGTCAACGACAGATCACCTATTGATTTCGTTAGAATTTTCTTTCTTTATTTATTTATTCTTTATTAGGTGGTCTGTCAACGACAGATCACCTATTGATTTCGTTAGAATTTTCTTTCTTTATTTATTTATTCTTTATTTATTTTTATTTCTTCCGTACACTTTTTTGTACACACGTTCACTCGAAATCGACATGGTCAATTTCCTTCAAATTTCTGTCAGTCATCAAGCTCTATGATTTCAAGTTAAATCAACTTTTTCAAGGTCATTAGGTAATCGTGACGTCATCCAGGCGCCATTTTGTAAAAATCAGGTCATTATCATATCTCAATAACGAGTCATCAAAAATCAACCATATTTGGTATACATCAACTTCAGGTCAAAGGTCAACTAAAAATTTCATCAAATTTTGCGCGCGCACCTCGACGCGCACGTACGCGCGCATTAAAATTTTAAAATGCTCAAATTCGTTCCAAATTAATTTTGCATACGTTTCAGGCCATTTTAAGCATTTTCAAAATTTGCGCGCGCGTAATTATGCGCGCGCGTTTCTGCGCGTATCCGCGCGTCCTGGCATTTTGCAACATAGAATCGCCAAATTTTTTCTGTTATCATATTTATTACATTTTTCCAAGCATTTTGATACCTTGTTTACCTTTTTCCGACCAGTAATACCGCAATTAGCGGCTGTCAAAGTTGAACGCACGCGCCGACCTGCGCTATCTGTATCCACAATACATGGGCAAAAACATGCCAATACAAAATTCATTTTAACTCTTCAGAATTGATAGATAACCCCCAATTTCTTTCATATTTAAATAGATTATGAGTTGGAGGTATGATTTCATGTCTCATTTGACCCTCAATTAACTCATGACGTCATCATAATGGCCTCCGAACTCAAAATTTCAATTTGCATATTATGACGTCAGCAGATTTTTGGAAAATTGATTGTATCTCTGCAAATGTTGATCAATTTTCTTTCAAATTTTGATATGTTCTACCTTAGAATATTCTCTACAAATGCATTCTACACGAGATTTCATTTTGACAAAGGCATCATGGCGTATTTTTGCGATTAAAGGAGGCATGTCAATTTTTCACATTTTGCGTGTATTCTCTATGGGACATGACTTTTTCTCAAAACTGGATTCTACATTTTCGTCTTTCGCGAGCAATATCTCCGTCGTTTTATCTTTGTTTACGCTGAGCTTTGAGTATGTTGTAGCTGAGACAATAAGCTATCACAAGTGTGGCCTTTATTTTTCGATCAGATGCCGGGATCATGCTCATATTTCACTTACAAAGTGGGATTTGAGAATTCTATTTTCCGTTTACGTGTAATCTCTATAGGAAATGTTTTGGTATATCGGTAACGCACTTGACTTCCGACCTCGAGGTCCCTGGTTCGAGTCCGGGCGTCTCCAACAATTTTTTTTCTTTACTTTTTTTTCTTTTTGACCTTTCACTGTACCATCTCCTTTGAATATTAAAACACGTAAAATCGCAAATAATGTAATAAACAACCATATTTACTTTATTATTACCCTATTATCACTTGATCCATTACTTTTTGCATGTAATCCTTATGGGAGATGACTTTTTCTCAAATCTGAATTCTACATTCTTGTCTTTTGCGAGCAATATCGCCGTTATTTCGGCTTGATTTTTGTTGATTTTTGAGTATGTTGTAGCTGAGACTATATACTATCTAAATGTTCTCTCATTTTTTTCAGTCTGATGTCATCATGGTCTGTTAATGATAATCATCAACATCATCATCATCATCATCATCATCATATTCGACATCACCATTACTATCAAGATCATCATCATCATGATCATCATCATGATCATCATTGTTTACATGTGTCTATATAACTTCTCCCTTTCTCAATATAGTGAATATTATAATCTATCATGACTTGAAGACAGACCACCTTAATCGTCCTCGTGACGATTTAAATTCTAGTTTATTTTTATTTCTTCCGTACACTTTTTTGTACACACGTTCACTCGAAATCGACATGGTCAATTTCCTTCAAATTTCTGTCAGTCATCAAGCTCTATGATTTCAAGTTAAATCAACTTTTTCAAGGTCATTAGGTAATCGTGACGTCATCCAGGCGCCATTTTGTAAAAATCAGGTCATTATCATATCTCAATAACGAGTCATCAAAAATCAACCATATTTGGTATACATCAACTTCAGGTCAAAGGTCAACTAAAAATTTCATCAAATTTTGCGCGCGCACCTCGACGCGCACGTACGCGCGCATTAAAATTTTAAAATGCTCAAATTCGTTCCAAATTAATTTTGCATACGTTTCAGGCCATTTTAAGCATTTTCAAAATTTGCGCGCGCGTAATTATGCGCGCGCGTTTCTGCGCGTATCCGCGCGTCCTGGCATTTTGCAACATAGAATCGCCAAATTTTTTCTGTTATCATATTTATTACATTTTTCCAAGCATTTTGATACCTTGTTTACCTTTTTCCGACCAGTAATACCGCAATTAGCGGCTGTCAAAGTTGAACGCACGCGCCGACCTGCGCTATCTGTATCCACAATACATGGGCAAAAACATGCCAATACAAAATTCATTTTAACTCTTCAGAATTGATAGATAACCCCCAATTTCTTTCATATTTAAATAGATTATGAGTTGGAGGTATGATTTCATGTCTCATTTGACCCTCAATTAACTCATGACGTCATCATAATGGCCTCCGAACTCAAAATTTCAATTTGCATATTATGACGTCAGCAGATTTTTGGAAAATTGATTGTATCTCTGCAAATGTTGATCAATTTTCTTTCAAATTTTGATATGTTCTACCTTAGAATATTCTCTACAAATGCATTCTACACGAGATTTCATTTTGACAAAGGCATCATGGCGTATTTTTGCGATTAAAGGAGGCATGTCAATTTTTCACATTTTGCGTGTATTCTCTATGGGACATGACTTTTTCTCAAAACTGGATTCTACATTTTCGTCTTTCGCGAGCAATATCTCCGTCGTTTTATCTTTGTTTACGCTGAGCTTTGAGTATGTTGTAGCTGAGACAATAAGCTATCACAAGTGTGGCCTTTATTTTTCGATCAGATGCCGGGATCATGCTCATATTTCACTTACAAAGTGGGATTTGAGAATTCTATTTTCCGTTTACGTGTAATCTCTATAGGAAATGTTTTGGTATATCGGTAACGCACTTGACTTCCGACCTCGAGGTCCCTGGTTCGAGTCCGGGCGTCTCCAACAATTTTTTTTCTTTACTTTTTTTTCTTTTTGACCTTTCACTGTACCATCTCCTTTGAATATTAAAACACGTAAAATCGCAAATAATGTAATAAACAACCATATTTACTTTATTATTACCCTATTATCACTTGATCCATTACTTTTTGCATGTAATCCTTATGGGAGATGACTTTTTCTCAAATCTGAATTCTACATTCTTGTCTTTTGCGAGCAATATCGCCGTTATTTCGGCTTGATTTTTGTTGATTTTTGAGTATGTTGTAGCT